CACACACACACACACACACACACACACACACACACACACACACACACACGATCATCCCTGCAAGCACAGGTCCACAGATGCCTTTGGGGCATATACACATATGTACGAAGCAAAAAGCCAGAAATTATTAGGAAGCTCACTTACCAGATGCTGACTTCTCTTGGGGTTCTTAGTACTGCTAGAAAACCAACCAAACCATTTACAGCCTCAGCCCAGGCCTAAGGACTCTGACCGTTAGCCTGGTGGCAGTGAATGTTCCTCTTCCTGTGCTTTGCCTCAAGTAGAAACACTGAAGACTTGTGAGAAAAAATGACAGTTGCTGTTAACTTTGAGTCTTGCCTAACAGTCCCTCTTGGACGTGTTCAGGCAGCCAAAGATGCCACTAGGCTGACACTGAGCAGTGAGATAGGAGGCATGACACTGAACCAAGCTGAAGCTCCATCCCTCCATTCCCAAAACCCAGTGTTTACAGCTTAGTTGATGTCCCATCCCTTTGACCGGGGACACAGCATCTCAGCTCAGGTTACCCACACACCTAGGTGTGTTGGGAGCATCACGTGGCACAGTGCTTTCTCAGGTTGCTCCCAGCCTTACTGGTTGGGCTGGAGTCATTAAATGCCTCTTCCCTTGAGGCCCCACAAGGATGTCAGGGGAGGCCCAAATAAAACCCAAAAGAAAGCAAGAAGGTTCAATCCAGAAACTGATGATTTTGTAGTCTATCCTGAGGACTCTGGATGCCAGAATTATTTCAATAAGTATTGCCTATCATCATCATCCCCTGAGGACCATCCCCTCCCCCAGCACTGATCCGCAGTGGGGTTTGACTACTCTCTTTCTCATCAGATCAGCATGCAAACTCTCTTGATATCAAGACTGTACCTACTTGGCCTGGACCCAGCTTGCAGCAGCTTCCCAAGGCATCATCCCCAAAGGGCTCAATCATGCCTGAAGCCGGAAGGGCAAGTCTGAAGGTCCTGGGCTTTTAAACAGCCTCTTCAGAGGCTTCATCTGTGGGCTAATCCATCGGCCCTGTGCTGGGCACTTTCATCCCATCTCCCTCTGGAAGATGATCAGGAAGTGATCTACTCAGCCTCACCATCCTTTCAGCAGGTTCATTTGCCCCTTTTACTCCTGCTCGCTGTTCCTACACAAGGAAAATGGAATGCTTTCATCAGTTTACCTCAAGGCAAAATGACAATCCCCCCCCCAGTTCTTGCCCTCCAAGCCTTCAGCCTTGCAAAAAGGCACCTTAACTCAGGATATTAGCAGATTTCCCTGAAACATTGGGGGCGAAGAGTGCCACCAGCATGTGGGGACAGATATCTTTCCAGGGCTTAGGATCCCACAGAACTCATGCAGAGAGCTGGAGGCAGAAGGGGGAGGTGCTGAGGATTTATTTTCTTTGGGGGAAAAAATAGCCCCTCCTCCTGCTCATCACCTCAGAGAGATGTGCATGAAACTTGACCTCCTTCCCGATAGCATCTCCCCAGCCCAGGTACTGACCTCTCAGTGTGCTGCAAAGGCCCCTCCTTGTTTTGTACCTACTATGAGGGGGATGTTTATTCAGAGAGAACCCAAGGAGCTTTGGAGCAAACTCGAGGGGATTAGTTCACCAAGGTTGCTGGTATAAAAGCTGTCCTTGTTCCCACCTGCTCCTGCAGAGAGGCGTGACCAGGAGCTGGCCAGGCAGGCCACCCCTGGACTGCATCATGTTCTATGATTGCCTCTTCACAGCTCCCTGCCAGCGTGAGTAACACCCCCCCCCCCCACTCTGCCCATTGAAGGACCATAAAAAGTAGGAGGGAACTGTTGTGAATGAATGGAAAGGAGGGGAGGGAGGGAGGGAGGGAGGCAGCCTAAACTAAGGGATTGGGGGGGGACAGTATCCCAGACTTTTACAGCCTCCTGAGACTAAGTTTCTATGTTTTCACCTGCAAAATAGATAAGCTGGTCCCTAGAGTACTCTGGTGGGCATATTGTGAGAATCATTAGCAAATTGTGCTGATGTGCTTTAGAAGTGTGACCAAAGGCACAGACTTGAAGGTAGGATCTCCCAAATCTCCATCCTGGTCAGGGAAAAATTCCACATCTGAGCTTTTGTTTTCCTCCTTGGACAAGGACGGTCTCCCTCTTCCTGCTTTTCTATAGTGTCTGTGGGGCAGAAGACGTAAAATTTCCTATCAGCCTAGCCAGGGGTAAATAGAATGAGAACTGCGGGGAGCATTGAGGAGGAGGACGTCGAGAAGACTGGAGAGTGTGTACCACAGGAGAATCGATTGAAGGGGCTAGAAATACTTATTTAATCTAGAAAAGGGAAGACTGAGTAGGGGCATAATAGCTTGTATTCCAACATTTGAAGAGTGGTTGTATGGAAGGAGTGGACTTTCTCTGCTTGGCCCTGAGGGGCATAATTAGCAAGGGAAGTCCTAGAGGGAAGTGGCAGGGGCTTAACTATAGAAAAGGAAAAACTCAGCGTGTCCAGAAAGCTTACTAACAGTTGTCTGAAAGTGAAATTGGCTCCCTCAGGAGGCAATGAGTTCCTATCCCTGGAGGTCTTTCAGATGGAGACTGGGTTATTTGTTGTCATTGCTTGTAAAGAAGATTCTTGCTCAGAGGTTAGACTAAATGACCTCTAAAGCTCATCCCTTCCACCTCTGGGATTCTGAGCTTCTGTTCTTCCTGAGAAAGCCATCCTGGATAAAAGGAAAGGTCAGAGGGGGCTGAGGTCAGGGAGAAAGAAAGGGCATTGGAGTTTGAGCCTTGGACTCCTGTTTTCCTGCAGAGCCACATCCAAGGATTTGTCTCATGAGGCCTTCGTTGCTCTAGTTCTTTCTAGCCTTCCCTCTTTCTTTGCAAATGTCACACTAGACTTTAGAATACCTCTTCCATGCCAGTCACAGGGCCATGCTTGAGGCTTTCCCCTGGGAATGAAGCCAGGTGGAAGAGTGGATGGATGAAGTAGACAGGCACTAAGCCTTAGAGCCCCTAGACAGCATTGCTTTCTACACAGCCAGCCCATTCCTATAGGATCCGTGGACATGCAGCTGACATGGGGGGGTGACCCCAGCCACATTCAGAATGATAATCTGTAGTAGGAAGTGTAGACCCTACTGGAGCTCTGATGCTTCCCACATCCACCCCCTCTGTCCTCTTCCTACCACTCTAAAGACTTTCTCAGACCCTAGAACTAAACCCAGATCCCAAACTTTTCACTCCCACTACCCTAGGGACAGTGCTGCACAGTGTGCCTGATCTGCCCCCTTCCTCCCTACAGAAGGGGCCATGAGGGCCAGTGACACTGTCTCAGAAGCTAGCCCAGGCTCTACAGCCAGCCAATCTGGAGTGCCAACACAGGTGGTCCAACAGGTCCAGGCCACACCGCAGGTATGGGGCTTCCAAGGTAAGGGGATTGAAAAGCTGGCTTTCAGCATGAGTTCTTGGGGCCAAAAGAGGCTGTCTCCAGCCACTGGAGCTCAAGTCTTCCCCATTTTGGAGATGAGTAGACTGTGCTTCTCATTGTTCCCTCCTCCACCACTGCCCTTTAGCTCTATCCCTCACCATCTGCCAGAGCCATCTGTTTGCCTTCTCTTATCAAGATGCTTTGCTCCATTCTGCTCAGCTCCCTTTCCATCCTCCCCTTCCCTTACCCCACAGTTTGGGGGTCAGGGCCAGCCCCCCTTCACCTCCCTGGGCTTTGTTCCAACAGCGGTTGCTGGTCCAAGCAAGTGTGCAGGCCAAGCCTGGTGCCGTGTCCCCTCTGCAGCTTACCAGCATCCAAGTGCCCCAGCAGGTAAGGCTGACCTGCCCAAGGGAAGGCAACGCCATCTTCTCTGGGGCCTCATGGGTCCCACCATCCCTAGCCACAAAAACCAAAGATTCCTAAAGGGGAATGGAGACACATCCTTTACTAACTTACCTCCCTATTGCCTGCCCACAACAGTTCCAGTCCATTTCTAATCAGGGAAATTAGAGCTGCCAAACCCTTGGCTATCCGTTTGGTCAGGTATCTCCACTGAGAAGAGTTATGCTAGCTCGGTCTGTTTTTTATCTCTCAGGAGGCAGCCAGTGTCAGGGAAAGAACACCATCCCTGGGAGTTGACATCCCTGTATTCTTTGTTCCCAAGTTACTATGCATCCTTGAGAAAGTTACCTAAAACCTCACAGGATCATGACGTCTGGCACTAGAAGGGACCTTAGAAATCACCAGGCTCTGTGTACTCAGAGGTGCAGTATGGGCTACTGAAAAGAGATGTGGACTAGGAGTCAGAAGACCAGGCCTCTAATCCCCCTTCACTATTTACCTCCTGTGTGACCTCAGTCAAGCCCCTTTCCTTCTCTGGTCTTGGTTTCTTCATCTGCAGATGAGACGATTGGACTAGGGCTAGATGATCCCTAAGGCTCTGTGAGCCCTAAAAAGCCCTCCAACCTCGGAAGGTTAAGGGAGATTGAGCCTTCCTCCCATTATACTTCAGCCCCTCTCAAATAGTAGGCTTCTGAGATTAGGATTCTTATGACCCTTGGATCTAGAGGCCAGGGCCTCCTCTCTCATGCTCTGCAGAAAAGAGATTAGCCCTTGTACCCATGGACCTAAACAGCTTGAATTAAAGCAAGTGCAGCAGGAGTTAGGGAGAGGGAGGGGACTCTTCCCCTAGCCTCAGGAGCTGTGGAAAGAACCTTTGGCAGATTCCTGTTCTTGCCCCATTTCCTCCCTCACACCTCCATTACAAAGAAACCTTTCGGGTTTACACAGAACCCTATTCCAGTAGCCTTGGGTTGGAGAGCATGGACTGTGGAGGCAAAATCCACACCTCCCACCCAATAGGGTGAGCTAATGCAAGTGAATCCAACTGCCAAGAAGGTCTTCTGGCCACCTGGCAGGCATACTGGAAATAGACTCCAAAAACTGTAGGGGGAAAGCATTGAACTTGGTTTGGTCCTTTCCCCTCACTGAGCCTTAAGTTTCTCATCTGCGCAATTATGGGGTTGGATTAGATATAGTGTCAAAAGATCCTTTTAATTCTAACATGCTTTGATTCTTAAAGGCCAGCCCCCTGGGATCTCTGGGATTGGGTCATGTTCTTTGCACCAGCTTCTTCCTAATCACACACATTCCCCACACAGCGATTGGTGGTGCAGAGCACAACCCAGGCCAGCAAAGGGGGGCCGGCTTCATTAGCTGTTCATAGTGTCCAACAGGTGCACTCTCCCCCAGAGGTAAGTGACAGCTCCCAGCCCTGTGGGGCTTCCCTCCCTCCCACCCATTTTTGTCATCTTTTTGTCTCCTTAAGCTGTTTCTCTGCATTTCTCCTCCCTTACCTTGCTTCTAGCTCTCAGATCCTGGCTTCTGTAGGTGACATTTAATGAGGTCAGGGTGGCCTCCAGCCAAGGTTAGCAGCAAAGGATTTTTGTCAGGGAACAGAGGACGTCCTAGCCCAGACTGAGCTTCAGCAGAGCCTGGGCTTAGAGCCTGGGCTTTTAAGCTCAGGGACTGGAGAGCACAGCAGCTTATGAGGCTGATATTGCTGTGTGATGCCTCATCCCCAACCCACTCTCCCAACCCTACCATGGACACTTCACCTCAGAGATAAATAAAAGCAGGTTTTCATGTCTCCCTCACTCCAAGATCTTTACAAGGATTCTTCAGTCTTGGAGTTGGGAGCAGGTGAGACATGAGGGTTTATAAGCTAAGACACTGAGAGCAAGGGCCAACTCCACAAGAGGCCCAGAGGTGTCTTAATCACTCCACAGCCTAGGGATGCCTATCACTCAGCCTGACCCCTCCCTGCCTCCCAGATCCCTCCCAGACGAGTGCCCATAAAAGAACCAAGCAGTGTTCGTGGATTCCCTGGAGTATAAGCCCTACAAAGCCAGGGAGAAGACAAGGTCTTTACCTCCTTTGGCTGTCTTATTATCCCTCCAGTAATATCCCTCTAATCTATTCCAGCATTTCAGTACCAAACCAGGCGGTGGTGGGTGGCATGAGGCAAAGTCTGTCCCAGGGGCTAGCCTGAAAAATACCAAGTTGGACTTTAGAGAATGTCTAAGAGAGATTTGAGCTCAGTCCTCAGCAGGACTGTCCCTCAGCAGGGACAAGTTTTTAAGGGAGAGACTGAAGCGAGCACTGGGAACTGAGCAAAAAAGCCCAGGACCTCTGGATTCATTTGCAAACTTTGTTGCAGAAGGGGTTCTCTTCCCACTGTGATCTGTCCAATTTCACCCTAAGCCCTTTAGCAGAGACAGGAAATTGCTGAGAGTGGGTCCCAGAAGAAAGCCTACCCTGGTGCCTGTGCTCAGCCCACCCTGATGTGTGCTTGAGCCTGTCCTTGCCGCTCTCTCTGTCTCTCTCTGTCCTCTCTCCCTCCCTCCCTCTGTGTGTCTCTCTGTCTCTGTCTGTCCTCTCTCCCTCCTTCCATGTGTGTATCTCTGTCTCTGCTTCCCTCCCTCCATGTGTGTGTGTCTCTCTCTGTCTCTGTCTCTCTTTCTTTGTCTCTCTCTCATTCTCTCAACAGCGTTCACCAGGACAGGGGAACAGCTCCACCAGCAAAGCTGGCTCCGTGCAGCAGCTCCAGGTGCACAGTGTCCAGGCCGTCCCTGTCTCACAAGAGGTATCCGACAGGGGAGGTGCCCAGGCAGAGCTGTTTCCAAGGGTCCTGGAACAGTTTGGAATGTGTAACCACTTTAGCATCCAGCCAGCACTGACCCTGTATAATACTTGAAATGAGAGGGGTTTAGAGTTGAGACCAGATTCCAAATCCTCCCTCTGCTGACTCCCAGTGGGACACTGGGCAAGTTTCAACCTCTTTGGGCCTCAGGTCCTCATTTAGAGGGGATTTCTTAGGCCTTGCTGGTTCTCAGTCATGTTCAGTGACTTACCCAAGGCCACATAGCAAGTTAGGACCAAAGAACCCAAGAAAACTGAGGTCCATTAGAATGACCTGCCCCAAGAATAAGGTTGGAGATTGCCATTCTACCCTCCCTTCCCCTGCTTCTCATTGCCCCAGAACAGCTGACACTACTCATTTTATCACAAGATGCTAGGATCTGTCCTGGGAATCTTTTAAGTGAATGAGCAAGCAGTGGGATGGGAGGCAGACAGTTTCTCTGTCTGATTCAGTTGAGGAAGTAGATAGTTTATCTTTATGGCTTGGCTGGGAATATGTGAGTATTGACCTGTTCTGTCAGGGAGGAACTGATTACTACCTATCTGCATTTCCCTTTTGGCAAAGAAGCGTGAGAGAAGGCAGCAGGGGAGAATCAGTGGATCAGTCCATTCCACAGGCTCTGGACTGTGCAGCCCCTTGTAGGAATAAGAGGGGCGCCAGATTCTGGGACTCCTTCACATGCTTGAGTGCTAGGCCCCTAGCTGCTCTCAGCCTAATGAGTGACAGGACAGTTGGGAGGAATGTGGGTGCTCCTTCCAGTGATTTGGGATGTTGTGTGTCCCCACAGAGATCCGTCGTGCAGACCACTCCACAAACACCAAAATCAGGCCCAGTGCAGCAGCTGACAGTACAAGGGTTGCAGCAGGTCCACGTCACTCAAGAGGTCTGTGCTCTCTGGGCCACTGGCTTTTCCCCTTCTCCTCCTCCCACTCCCCTTGGAGGTTTTCCCTGCCCAAGCTGTGACTGGATGGGTAGTTTTCTGGGCACTAAGAGAGGCCCTAAGAACCAAAGGGCCCTACAGCGAAAGGGCTGAGCAGATGATCTCTAAGGTCCCTTCAGTTCTAAATACTGTGATTCTCACCTTTCAGAAGGGAGGCCTATTAGAATATCTTGCACCAAGGACCAGGTCAGGGATAAAACTGTGACTTGCCCACTTCCCTGCCTAAGACACTGAAAGAGAAGCTGCTATACATTTTCTTGAACTGTGGGACCTTTGTAGGGCAGACCAGAGCGTGAAGAGGCACCTTTTAAACTTCCAACCAGACAGACAACACCCAGCCCCAGAGTGGGGAACGCAGTGCCCAGACTCGGCCCCGCCCACACCCCACCCCCGCAAGGTGCGAACCTGTGGGGCCTCCCTCCTCCATCCCAGGCCGGCTTCCTGGTCTCCCAGGTGGCCCGGGGCAGCGTCTGGGGCCCCTAAGGCCCCGTGGGAGGGTCCCGCGCTAGGTGCATTTGCCGGGCCGCACCCTGCCCGCACCCCTCCTGCCCTGTCCCCTCGGCAGGGCTGCGGGTGATGGGCCAGTGTCTCTGTTTGTCCTCCAGTGCTCAGGCAGTCAGTTTCCCGCTAGGAAGGGAGAGCAGCAGGAGCCAGCAGCAGAGCCGCCTGTGGTGCGGGCCGAGCGGGGCGAGCGGGCTGGAGAGGCGCCCCTGCTGTTAGAGTGCAGTAGCGAGACCCCGCAGTTAGGCAGCGGCAGCCCGGAGCCCCGGCTCTATTACCTGCCCGCGGCGGCGGCAGCGGCAGCGGCGGCGGCGGCGGCGGTAGCAGCGGCCGAGCCCGGTTCTGAGCAGTGGGTGGAGCTGGTGCGCGTGCTCCCCCAGCAGCTGCTCCTGCCCCAGCAGAAAGTGGTGATCGAGCCCCTACCGGGGCTCTCCTCCCGAGCCAGCCCCGACCAGAGAGTCAGGATCCAGAGAGTCCCCCAGGTGCTAGTGTTCGGCACTGCAGCCACAGCGCTGAAAGTAGGTGGGGAGAAGGGGGCGGGGCGGGGCTGACTTCTTCTGCCCAGAGCCTGCCCTGGTGCCCCCAGCCTCCCAACTTAGGCAGGCCCCACCTCTAGGCGATTCTTTACCCTTGGTCCTGGGACCCTCGCCCCTCCCCGTCTCCCCAAGGCTCCTAGCCCCAGCCTTCCTGCTCCTAGGCTCTGCCTTTAACAGATACAAACCCTGCCCACCCGTTCTTAGGCCCCTGCACGTAACAGCGCTGTCCATGCTCACCCCACCTTTCATTCAGTCTCCATTTTACCGTCAGAAAGCAGGCCTGGGTGTCTGGCCACTGGTGTGAATTTATTCTGAACAAGAGCACCAGGGTTCCAGACCTTGAACAACAGTTTTGCTTAGGTAAACAGCGAGACCCCTTGTTAGGCAGGCCTCCTGCTCACAGGGAAGCCTCTGGGCTGTATGTCTGTTGGCCAAGAGCACAGGGTTATAGGTGATATAAGCTCTTCCAAGAAGAGGCCTGTCCTGCCCCGCATGTAGAAACTCTGGCCTGGACCAACCTAAAGCCCGAAGGCAACCCAGTCCCAGGGGTCCCTGCCCTGTCGTATCATCTGCAATGTAGCCTCTGCCTCAGTTCCAGCTCAGTTGCTGCTATCTGGCCCCAGTGTCAGAGGATGCTAGCCCTCCCCATAACCCTTGGTCTCTTGCCCCAGGTGCAACAGCTCCAGCAGGTGCCCGTGCAGCATGTGTACCCCAGCCAGGTTCAGTATGTGGAGGGCGGTGATGCCAGCTACACAGCCAGCACCATGTGAGTACATCAAGGAACAGATCCTGTAGCCTTCATCCCAGCTCTCCTGAAGCCCTGACTCCAGATGTAGACTGGGCCATCCTGCATTGTAGACAGGCAAAGCCATCACAGGCCCACCCTTAAGGAGCTTGCTCACCTCCAGCAATCAGAGGATTCTGTAAGGCATGAGATGCTGAAACGTATCAGAACAGGTCTGGCCAGCAGAAAGTGGGAAGATTCATACTGGCCATGGTCACATGGGAGGAGATTGGGATTGAAATAGTCTTTCGTAGACAGGCAGAATCTTTGTCAGTGGAGGAAAAGAAGGAGGGCATCTTGCACAGGGAAGGGGGTGGTGTGCCCAAAGGCACAGAGACGGGTGAACCTGGCACTTCATGGCGTTGTTAGAAGAGACTCGCCCACCAAGTTCCAAAGGAGTAGGACAGGATCATTAAAAAGTAGTGGAAGATAGAGCTGAGGTCAGGCTCTCATTGGCCTTAGAAGTCCCTTGTTTGAACTTCTGTGAGCAGCAGGGAGCCACAGGTACTTTGTGAACTGAGAAGGGATGGGATCAGAGCTGGGCTTTAGGAAGACTAATTGTGGCAGGATGGAAGGGAATGCCTTGAAGTTGGAAGGCTTCCATCATGGAAGCTGTGGCAGTAATCCAGGTGGGAATGGAAAGGAGGGAAGAAATAGGCCTTGACAATTGATTGGACCTATGGGATGGGAAATAAAAAGTTAACCAGAGCCACCATTAGCCTAGAGTGACAAGAAGGGTGATAGAGCCAGTGACAGAAGTGTCAAGAACATTCTCTTGGTTCCCCTTTGTTAGTTTTTTGGTACCATTCTAAGGTGGAAGAATTATATTCAGCTCAGGTCCCAACTGGACCAAAGCAACTGGATGCTTCTGGGGGGAGGAGTCCCAGAAAGCTTATTGAGAAGCAAAAGACCCCAGCCCTAGAGACAGGTTGATTGATTAGCGGCTCTCATGGCTTATGATGCTAAACATCTGGACATATCTGGGATTCCCATAAGCTCTGCCACAGAGATGGCGACCCAGCCCTTCTTCTTCCCTGCTTTCCTTACAGTCGCTCAGGTACCTACCCCTACACAGAGACACCACTATACACCCAGAATGCGGGCACCAGCTACTATGAGTCCCAGGGCACAACCGCGCAGGTCAGCACACCTGCCACCTCACAAGCTGTGGCGAGTAGTGGCTCAGTGCCCATGTATGTGTCGGGTGGCCAGATCGTCACCAACTCTAGTGGCGCAAGCAGCGGAGGGGGCGGCGGGGGCGGCGGGGGCGGCGCCGGCACCTACGTGATCCAGGGCGGCTACATGTTGGGCAGCTCCAGCCAGTCGTACTCTCATACCACCCGTGCCTCACCAGCCACTGTAAGTGCCCCGGTGCCCCCTCTTAGAGGGAGAAGGGGTGGGGAAGAGGAACATCACTTGGGGCAGAGGCAGGGATAGAGCCTTGGGAATGTTTCTGCAGCACAGCTGTCTTCTGCCTTGTAGTCACTGCCCTGGGTAGTAACCATCCAGGGTACAGGCCGAAAGGATCAGAAAGGGAGGGGAGAGCCCGAGTTCAGAGCATTTCATACCATCTGCCTCTTGAGGATCAGCAGAGGGGATAGAGGGAGCAAGAAGCTTTAGCCCATGACACTGCCCCCAGGAGGGCCCTAGGTCTACCCCAGTTGCCTCCTTGCCATACAGGTGTGATGAGCAAGGGTCTTACCTAGGTGGGGGCTGGCCCCTGGGTTGGCTCCCTTCCCCCCTCCCCCCACTTCTCTTCCCCCTAGGTCCAGTGGCTGCTGGATAACTATGAGACAGCTGAGGGTGTGAGCCTACCCCGAAGCACCCTCTATTGCCACTACCTCCTGCACTGCCAGGAGCAAAAGTTAGAGCCCGTCAATGCTGCCTCTTTTGGCAAACTCATCCGCTCTGTTTTCATGGGCCTCCGCACTCGCCGACTTGGCACCCGGTAGGTCTGTCTAGTGTTTTGAGGTCGTTCCCCAGAGCCAGGCCTCAGGGATGTTCCCAGGATTGAGCCCTCAGCCCCAGTGGGATGACCCTTCCTCCTTCCATCACATAACTCTACCTACTAGTAGTTATAGCAAAGCCTCAGGTTTATCACCTATGTTAAGTGAGGAATTTCTTCTCCTCATGCTCTTAGGTTGTGGATCCCTTTTTGGTGACATCCTCAGTCACTCCCCTAGAGAGTTATTTTGGGCAGATTTCCCCCAGTGAACTTCTTAAAAGAGTCTCTATGGTATAATGGATAGAGAGTTGGTGTCAGAATCTGGACGACCTGGATTCAAGTCCCACCTCTGACACTGTGGCCTTGGGCAAGCCATTTAACTTCTTAGTTTGCCCTGGCCAATTCTCATGCTCAATGACTGCATTACTAGATGGGAGCCCACAAGGTGGTGGTTGGGCCTGGGGTCTTTGAGATTGACAGCAGAATGGATTTACTGTTTTCCATGCTAGGAATTACTCCACACCTCCACCTCCCTTAGCCATGACTGGAATTCCTTGGGACTTCACAGAGCACTTTGTTTATACCTTCCTAGTGCACTTACCACATGATGTCAATTATAACAATCTGTGTTAGTACATTATCAGGATCCCTACTAGACTGTGACCTCCACAAAGATAATGTCTTCTCCAAACTTTGTACCATGCCCAGCATAGGCTCTGCAAATAGCAGGCAATGAATAAATATTGTTCAAATGAATGAATGAATCCCTCCTAGGTAATATTAGGGGCATCCCTAGCCTAAACCCTATCTCTAACTTTCCCCTCTTTTCTTTCCTGCTTTCCTTTCCAGGGGGAACTCCAAATACCATTACTATGGCCTGCGTATCAAAGCCAACTCTCCACTGCTACGCCTGATGGAGGACCAGCAGCACATGGCCATGCGGGGCCAGCCCTTCTCCCAGAAACAGAGGTGAGTATGCTTTGATGCCCAGCCTAGGGGTCTCTGGCTGGCAAATCACCAGGGAGGGAAGGCATTCCTTCCCACCTGGACTCACTCTTTACTTCCTCTACTTTCCCAGGCTTAAACCAATCCAGAAGATGGAGGGCATGACCAATGGTGTGGCAGTAGGACAGCAGCAGGCATCAGGCCTGTCCGACATCAGTGCCCAAGTTCAGCAATACCAGCAGTTCTTGGGTAAAGACCTGTCCTTATGCCCAGAAACATTGCTACACAGCCCACACTGCAAATCCCTCCCTCCCCGGGAATTCCCTGCCCCACATGGGACCACAGAAGGAAGAGAGTGTTTAGGGGGGGCAAGACTCCCTGAGCCCTGCAGAGGTGTAATGTTAAAAGAATTGGATTAAGAATCTTTGACCTGTGTTCTACTAGATAGCTTGACCTTGGGCAGCTCACTTAATCTCCCTGGGCTTCAGTTTCTTCATCTCTAAAGTGAGGAATTGGGATGAGATGATTTCTGAGGTCCCTCGTATAAATGCTATGCTCCTCTGATCTGTCCTGGGTCCTTTCTACCCCCACAGATGCCTCAAGGAGCCTTCCGGAATTCACTGAGCTTGACCTACAGGGCAAGGTGCTCCCTGAGGGGATTGGACCTGAAGACATCAAGGCCTTCCAGGTCCTGTACCGGGAGCATTGTGAGGTATCCAGAGGGCCAGCATTGCCAGCCAGGAAGCATGGGGGAAGGGCCATGCTCTTCCTCCTATGGGGATGTTCCTGCTCTGCCCTCATCACTCTGTCTCCTCTCCTTGCCAGGCCATTGTGGACGTCATGATTAACCTGCAGTTTACACTAGTGGAGACCCTGTGGAAGACCTTCTGGAGGTATAACCTCAATCAGCCCAGTGAGACCACCCCCCTGACTGTGTGAGTATGGCAGGGAGCCCTGGGCAGCTGCAACAAGGGAGCCAGTTAAGGCCTTCTTACTGAGGAAGGGAGTCTTCACTCATGTCTGTGTGGGTCTGTCTCTGTTCCTGTATGTATATCCCTGCATACATGTCACTGTCCCTGTGTCGTCATATCCTATCTACATATGTCTATTCCTGATTATATGTCCGTGTCTGTGTCCCTGTTTGTGTGTCTCCTTACAGCCACGATGAAGCAGAGAAGCGGCTGCCCAAGAGCAGCCTGGTGCTCCTCTCTAAGTATGAGCCTGTGCTCAAGTGGACCAAGGACTGTGACAACTTGCTGTACCAGGGCCTGGTGGAGATCCTTATCCCTGATGTGCTGCGGCCCATCCCCAGTGAGTAGGGCTTGGTTGCGGGTAGCCAGCTGAGGCAGGAGCACTCTGCTCACCTCTCCAGCCATTCTGTCTGTCCTCCACAGGTGCCTTGACACAAGCAATTCGGAATTTTGCCAAGAGCCTAGAGAGCTGGCTCACCAATGCCATGATGAACATCCCTGAAGAGATGGTTCGGGTGAAGGTGAGGGGGATGGAGCTTCCTGACCTGCATTAGCTCATCCCCATCCTAGAACACCAAACCAAAGGCCCCTGTAGTTTAGGTAGGATTTAGAATTAGAGGGTATCTTGGCATCTTTATTTTACAGAAGAGGAAACCGAGTCCTAAAGAAAGGTCACACAGATAGCAACTAGAATTGTAATTTGAACTCATGTCCTCCCATTTCCAGACCCAGTGCTCTTTTTCCCAACCGTGAAGAGCCATAAATGCCAGGCTGAGGAAATTAGACTTCATCCTAGAAACAATAGGAAGCCCAGCCTAGTTAGAGCTGGGCTGTAGGAAGGGAACTGGCAGCCGTGCAGGCAAAATGAGAGGGGACGGGCTGGTCAGGTTATTGCAGTGGTCCAAGGTGAGAGGGAGGGAAGAGGAATATGGTCCAATGAGAGGACTGAATTGATGTGGAGCCAGAGACCCGGATTCAGACCCAAGCTCTGCTACATGCTCACTACCTGCGTAATAATTCTTTCCTTTGGTAGGCCTCAGTTTTTATTGTTCAGTCCTTTCAGTCATGTCCGACTCTTCGTGACCCCATTTGGAGTTTTCTTGGCAAAGATACTGAAGGATTTTGTCACTTCTTTCTCCAGCTCATTTTACAGATGAGGAACTGAGGCAAACAAGGTTAAGTGACTTGACCAGGGTCACACAGCTAGGAAGTGTCTGAGGCCGGATTTGAACCTAGGAAGATGAGTCTTCCTGACTCCAGGCCCAGCACTTCTATCCATTGTGCCACTCAGGTGCCCCACAGGGCTTCAATTTACTCTTCTATAAAATGAGTTGGTTGTACCAGATAACTTAGCACTAAATCCTATGATCCCTTGAAGTCACCACTACACTCTGGTCCATAGTTTGCACCTCTAAAAGGAGGCTGGCCTTAATGGTCTTGAAGGTCCTCTGCAGTGCTAATGTTGGGCTATTCCAGGGCCTGGCTGCGGGTGGGGAGGGGATCACAGAACCAAGGGCATGAAAGGGCTCTGTCTACAGGTGGCCGCAGCCAGTGCTTTTGCCCAAACACTTCGGCGCTACACCTCCCTCAATCACTTGGCCCAGGCGGCCCGGGCTGTGCTTCAGAATACGGCCCAAATCAACCAGATGCTCAGCGACCTCAACCGCGTTGACTTTGCCAATGTGCAGGTACCAGTAGCCCCTAAGGATAGCTGGAGCTAACCCCGGGAGGGGAGGGTCATGGGCAGCCCTATCTTGCTCAGAAACCACAACGGTTTCTGGGAATGGCATGAGATGGTGTGAGGAGGCAACCACTTGGGTGTGGGCTCAGAGCCTACATCCCAAGCCACATCTCTCTGGCTCTGTTTCCCCAGGAGCAGGCCTCTTGGGTATGCCGCTGTGAAGACCGTGTTGTGCAGCGGCTGGAGCAGGATTTCAAGGTGACTCTTCAGCAGCAGAACTCGCTGGAGCAGTGGGCAGGCTGGCTGGATGGCGTGGTGAGCCAGGTGCTCAAGCCCTACCAGGGCAGTGCCAGCTTCCCCAAGGCTGCCAAACTCTTCCTTCTCAAGTGGTCTTTCTACAGGTGGGTGGTGCCTGATGAATGGGGACTGGGGGCAGCCTGGCTCAGCCCACCAACCCCAGGCCTGCTTCCTCTTCCTCTAGCTCCATGGTCATCCGAGACCTGACCCTGCGCAGTGCGGCCAGCTTTGGCTCATTCCACTTGATCCGCCTCTTGTATGACGAGTACATGTACTACCTGATTGAGCACCGAGTGGCCCAGGCCAAGGGAGAGACACCCATCGCTGTCATGGGCGAGGTGGGTACAGTAGGTAGACTGGGGAAGATTGGGGGGGGTAGGCAAAAAAAAGAGGCAGCCTACCCACCCTAACTGTTCCTCGGGCCCACTCTCCCCTGTACAGTTTGCCAACCTGGCCAGTTCCCTGAACCCCCTGGATCCTGACAAAGGTAGGAAGGGCCTCTACCACTTAGGCTCCACCTGGAGCTGGTGAGGACCTTGGGATACCTGGGTCCCCACCTCGTTTGGGCACCAGCTGTAGGGCAGGGTGGGCAAAGGGGCCTGAGTATCCCAGCTCCATTGGAATGAAGTGGGAGGGGGGAGGAGCTCCAGTCCAGAGCAAGCCCTGAACCCAGATCCCTCCGTGAACCCAGATGAGGAGGAAGAAGAGGAGGAAGAGAGTGAAGACGAACTGCCCCAAGAGATCTCTCTCAACTCCAGTGAGTCGACTGCCCTCAGCTCAGAGCCCCTGGAGCCTCCAGCCAAGCTGGCAAGGACTGACGGACGGGGCATCTTCGTGCAGGCCCTGCCCTCGAGCTAAAAGCCCTGGCTATTTGCTGGGGCTTCCCAGGACTCTGGCCCTCAGAGGGCAGGGCAAGGGCTGTTTCAGGGGCCACCTACCCCAAACCCACCTTGTAGCTGTGGGAATCCCATGAGCCCGGGCTTCCAAAGGAGAAGCCTGGCCTCACCAGCCTTCTACCCTCCATCCCTACTCTCCTTCCCTCAAGAGACACCAAAGTCCCAACCAGACTCCAGGCTTCCCTGTAGCTCATGGGACTTGGCGTGTTTTTGCTCTGGCCCTCATTGTGGGGCAGGATGCACCCCTAGCTACTGAGTGGGGGGAGCAGGAGAGCTCCAAGCAGGGAAGGCATTGGCCCTGCACCCCTTGCCCCTGCAAACCCACCCCTTCCTGTGGCCTTTGTTTGCCCCTGCGGGGTACGGGGGGTGGGTGGCAGCACAATCCCAGGGCAAGAACCACTTGGCTGCACTGGAAGGATTTGGGGGCAGAGCAGGGGAGCTGGCTCCTCAATACTGCAAACACTGACACAAAAGACAAGACGTGCCTTAAGGAACAAACTGAGTGTCTTGGCTGGCAGCAGGCTCCCTGGGGCCATAGGCATGGCCTGGAGCAAGAGGGAGAGTGGACCATCTTCTCTTCCCTGGGTACCTGCACAGGTCCAGAGCTGTGCCAAGCCTGGCCCAAGGGGCTGTCTGCCCTTGGCAGCTCCCTACAATGGGCATGGTGGCTCCCAGGTTTCTCTCGCCCTCTCCTACTCCCTGGAACTGATTCCAAGCTCTGGCTTTGCACAGTGGCTTGCCCCCCACCCTCACCCCAGGCTGTCTGGGGCTTAGGGGATGTTGAGCTGCCACCTCGGACACAGGTAGTATGGGTAGGGGGAGGGGTCGCTGCTCTCTATAAGAGCACTTGCTAAAGTGCAGAGGTCCCTGTCACCCCCCCAGAATCCCCCCCTACCCCCCCAGTCCTCCTTGCTTCCCTTCTTGGTTTAAGTGCAATTAAAGCAGTTCCGGGCACTGCTTTAGGTGAGGGCTTGTGGGTCAGGGCCCTGCCCATCAATCTCCTTCCCTGACCCCCCCCCCCCCATTTGGCACCCTCTGCTGTGAGGGAGCATTGCAGGCCTCCATCAAGCCTTGGGAAAGGCCCTCTCCTTCACAGGCTGTACCTCCACCTCAGTACCCTTCCTCTGCCTCATCCCACCTAGGCCTGGAGCTGTGACAGGACCCTCTCCCTCCCCAGGGGCAGGGGAGAGACAGTTGATGCGGCGGAATGAGCGGGAGAGGCTTCCTTGTTCCCTCCCAGCTTCCAAAGACCAGTGCTAGATTGACACTGCCCCAAGAGCTGCCAGCCTACCCCAGCTCAGGGAGCTAAGGCCAAGGTGCCTCCTCCCAAGTGTGGCCAGCCTCCCCTGGAGCAGGTGGGCCAGCAGGGGCCTGGGTAGCCCTCACTCATAAAGATCACCCCCACCCCCCTTACCCCCTCAACAGCTGCCCTCTACGATGCTGGTTTGTCATGGAACCTTCTTAGCTATTCTAGTTTTCCAGAGATCTGTGCTTTTGTAATGTAATGATCTAACCCTCTCTCTAAACCACATAACTATTGTGCGATTTGTGAGCGATACCCACTCCAGAGTTGGTAGCTGTTGGGGTTTTTCCAACCATCATGGCCTTATTTGTTCCAATTTTTTCAGTGTTTTCAACATGTGAGATAGATGTTTATGGCAAAACAAAAAACAAAAACAAAAAAAAACCTGACCTTATTGTATAAAAAAAAAATCACTATTTTGTGTGCTCCAAGTGCAGCAGCTGAGGGGACTGGCCCCCCACTCTGCTGGTGGCTGGTGCCACCCTGGGCCCGGGCAGCCAGGCCCTCTTCCCCGTGGTGGTGAAAGTGTCAAAGCGTGTGGTAGTCTAGAGAGCCCAAGCTGTTTTCTACCTTTTTGTAGTCTTTCTTAAAACACAATAAATTCTGCTGTGTTCTTTGGCTACCAGCTGACTCCCCCAGCTTTGTCCTGAAGCCTCTTCTGCTCTGGTGCAGGTCAGGGCTCTGATTCCTGACTGCTCACTCTATCTCTGACCCAGAGCACAAGTGATTTCCAACTTTAGGGTACAGAAGAGATGCAGAGCCAACTGTCTCACAGATTGATTGGGGGGGAGGGGTGAGGATATGACCCTGAAGGGAGTTCACACAGTCTCAGAAATTAAAACATTTATTACATGAATTGGGGGGAGAGGGCAGGGAGAGGGGTCAGCTAACTCGACCTCCTCAAGGAACTGGCATCCACAACTGGCAGCCAAGAAAACTTAGAATATACATGAAACCAAAGGCCCTGGCCTGGAAGGGAGAACGGGGTGGGGAGAAGCTGAGTCTCTTGAAGCTTCTCTTGGCCCTCTTCCCTGTGCCCACGGCTGACAGGGCTCTCTCTGCCAAGGAACTCAGCAACCTAGGTAGCCCTGGCCACTTAATCCCCAGGGGTCCCTCCCCTGCCCCAACTTAAATAGGCATAAATAAAAGGGATCTGGGCTCTAGGGCTCCTGGGGGGCCTTACCTTCCCCCAGCCTATCCCACCTTCCAAGGGGGGAGGGGGAGAGGCCTTCCAGAGCCAGAGCCTTCCCTCCCCCCCACCCCCCCACCTCCCAACCTAATACTAGGGGACAGGATGGGAGAAACAAAAAGCCCCCAAGTAACAACAAAATCCAACCCAAAACGAGGAGGTAGTATCGAGTCAGTGTCCAGAGCAGTGGGTGCCATAGCCCCCGGGCTCCTCACAGCACAATCCATGTGTACCGCTCGTTGTCAGCCAGGACCTTCAGGGAGCAGCCTGGAGGGGGTGGGACACACACACATACACACACACACAAGACAAGTACATCCCAACTTCTTTTGGGCACCCTTTCTGCCGCTTGTTTATAGGCTCAAAGGAGTTAAGCTGGAATGGCCCTCAGAACATCCAATCCAACCCCCTTACTTGACAGGAAACTAAAGCACAGAGAGAAAACACTTGGCCAAAATCACACAGGAAAGATCACAGACTTTTAGGAGGTGGAGGGGCCGTTCTACTGAGGCCCAGAGGTTAAATGACGTGCTCGAGGTCAGACAGTAAACAAAAGAGCCAGCATTTAAATCCAGTGCTACTTCTAGGATAAAGGATATGATGCACACTATCAATGTAGCCAAACCTTTATGAACCCATCTCTGCTTTGTGTCACTGACAGACACCTCTGGGAGGTCCCAAGTCCCCATAAAGTGAATTCCTACCACAGGAGTAGGGCAGCCCTTTGTCCTAAAATCATCTCAGAGTGTAAAAACATAAAGGCTCCTTACCCTATTAATTTTGGGATCTGGTGACCAGATTCATTGAAGGTCACTCTGTCCATGTCCTCCAAAATCTCTTTTCCCCCTCAGTCTTCCCCTTCCAGACTGGAGTCCTCTTTAGTCTGTCCCTCTCTGCCCATTCCCTACTCCTCCAGCGGCCCCCTTCTATCTCTGCTGCCGTTAGCTTGGGGTCCTTCTCTAGTTCCATTCTATCTGGAGTTGGGACAACGAGTCCTAGGCACAGTCCTAGTGTTGCAGTTACAGATCAATGATTGATACTTGAATGAACAGGGCCTTTATATGAGGGGAAGGGCAGGTTTTTAGGTGGGGGCCTCTGCGCCCTCAGAAGTCAAAGCCAGATAAGAAGACCGACAGGCCAAGCAAGCAGAGGAAGAGAACGCTGGGTGGTTGAGACTGCCTGAGCCCCACCTTTGTGTAGTGCCTCATTGGTCATCCTGTTGACATAACGGCCACTGTTCTCGGGCACAAGCCACTTCATCACCATGTCCACGCAACTCTTGCGATAGGAGCTCCAGACGCTACCGCTAGAAGGAAAAGGGAAGCTTACACAGGATCCTGTGTGGCACAGACCCCTCCTTTCTAAATCAGCCTTGGCCTCACCTGGTCTGCCCTTTGACCTCAGTGAGATCACCCACGCTGACCGTAACGAAGATGCCTGTGTTCAGGTCCCAGGCCACCTTCAAGCTGGTATGATAGGTCTTTGGTCTAGAGGGCAGGACAGAGGATAAACTGAGGCCCAGGGGAAGTGGTCTAGACCACTGGGGAAGGGGTGCAGTGGAGAAGAGTGGAAATGAGAGGATCATAGGATTCTGAGCTGCAAGGAACCTTAAAGGTTACCTCATCCAACCCCTCTTTTCATAGATGGGGAAAACTACCACCTCGAGAAGGGAAGCACTACGCTCGGGATCACCCAGCTACCAAACGGCAGAGAAAGGGTCCAAACCCAGGTTCTCTTGACTCCAAATCTATTGCTTTTTCGACCAAACCACAAGAGGTATCAAGTGGAGAGCTAAGAGGCCTGTAGTGAAGGCCGAGGGGGCAGCAGCATTATCCTGTGCTTGGTCAGTGGCAGGCCTTGGGGACACAGGGGCAAGCATTTCCCTCCCCCCTCCCTCACCGGAGCTGGGCCTCCTCATTGGGGGAGGGGAAGGCCAGGAGCAGCAGGCCAATGTTGATGAGGACCTGGTTGGTTTCAGGACAGACCTGGTAGGGGAGAGAGTAGGGGAGGACAATGAGGAGAGGCCCCAGAGCCCTGCAGCATCACAGGCTGGAACCCAATAATAACAGCTTACATTTCTATGGCAATTTAAGATTTACAAAGTACTTAATTCACAACTCTCAGTTGTGAGCAAATACTATTCCCATTTTAGAGATGAGGAAACTGAGACTTAGAGGGGAAATGATTTCCCTAATCATGCAGCTAAAAAAGTATGAGAGCCAGGACTCAAACCCAGGTCCTTTTGTCTCAGTCTAGCGCTCCTTCCTCTCTAAATCGGCATGTATTCATCACCTGCTCTGTGGAAACTGCTCTACTAGGTGCTGGGGAACACAAAGACAAAAATGTATCAGTCCCTGCCCTCAAGAAGCTTACATTCCATTAAGAAGACAACATGTATATTTACAAGACCTATACAAAGTAGACTCAAGGTGGTCTCAGGTGAGAAGACCTTCTATGCCATTTATGTCTCCTATGCCCACTCCCACCCCAGAGGGCACACACCTCCAAAATGACGATGTCATAGTCACTGAACGAGCAGAACTGGTGGCTCCAAGTGGCATCATTTCGGATGACTTCATTAATGACATACTCAAAGTCAAGCGTCAGCTGTTCCACTGTCAGGTACTGGCCCTTTAATGGACAAAGGGCCAGAGATATACATACACATATGCTCGCTCCTCTTTGCCCCAGGTTGGCTTTCCTCTGTCCCTGACCCCTGCTGCATACCTGGAAAACTGCCCGCTCTCTCATAGGCCGTAGATTCCTGCCCCGGAGATCAGTCACCACAAACGGAAGGGAGATTTTGTCATCTTCAAACCCTGGAAGTGGTGGAAGAGGGGAACAGGATGATAGATAGGGGTGAGACTTTGGGATCTGAAGCAGGCCTCTGCTCTGCCCTCCTCTCACCTGCACCCTCTCCTCACCATCCTCTGGTTCGGCCCAGTCCCCAGGCTCCAGGACATAATGCAGCTTGGTGTAGTTGACATAACCTGGCTCTGCAATGGGGGGCACTGTGTCAGGAGGACTGTCCCGGGGTCCTGACTCCCTGTCCAGGGGTGGGGCCTCACAGGGCAGACGACAGCGGCTGCCCGAGGCCCCCAGGCAGAGGGGCTGTCGGGCCTCCTCCACAGCACCACCCTTTGCCTCCTTGGCCCTCCGGAAAATGTCAGCCACAAACTCCTTGGCTTTGGCAACAGCTGGCGAGGGCTCTGGAGGGCGAGCAGGGGTGGCCTCTGGGCAGGGTCCTCTGGACACAGGGGGATCCTCTCGGCTCGGGGGCCCAGGAGGGTCAGGTGGGGCTGGCGGATGGGTGGTTCGGTCATAGAGGATTTGGCAGAAACTGCTGTCACCTGGAATAGGGGGATGGAGTGGAGAGAAGCAGGTTGGAGGGAAAGAACATGAGGGCTCATAACTTACAAAGGCAAACCAGAGAACTCTGGGTTAGAACCTGGGCAAGTCATTTCTCTCTTGGTATCTGTTTCTTTAGATGTAAAATGGGAGACAAGAGACTAAGGCAACACTGACCAGATAGCAGCTAAGGCTCCTTCCACCTCTACATTCTATAACTCTTATGAGAGCAGGTCAATCTCTTCCCCTGTCTAGACCTCAATTCTCTCTCCTATAGGGGATCCAATTAGATAACCTGTAAAGTACCTCCTGGCTAGAAATCTTAAGATCCAGTGTTCCAAGGTAGCGTCAAGAAACAGATACACTGAAGAAAAATTCCCTCTGATGCCTAACCCTTTAACTTAGTCATCGGGTAGGGGAAAGAAAGCTGGGACTACAAAGAAAGGAAGGACATTTTCTACCCAGTACAGAATGGAGTTGGTGTCTAGCAACTATCATTCTAAAGAGACACTGGGTCAGAAATCAAATCCTTCTGTTACTTACACGTAATCGGACCTTGGATAAGTCACAACCTCTCTGAACCTCAGTTTCCCCATTTATAAAACAAAGAGGTTGGACTACATGATTTCTAAAGTCCTTCCAACCCTGCAATCCTATAAGCCATCAGGACTGACCACAGTGCCCCAGCTCTACAAGTGGCTGACGGAGGGCCAGGCAGCTGGGCTGAAGCCATGGCCTGGGGCCACAAGCCTACCTGCTGAGCAGACAGAGACTGCACAGGCCACCAGGGAGTAACTGGTGTTGAGCAACACCACCTGGTCCTTTTTGAGCTGGAAGGCTGGCTGGAAGGTGGGGAAGGGATAGACCACCTGGTACTTGGTATGCAGCATGAACCCATGTCTCAGGCAATGGGCGCTAGGGTCTCCTGAAACACACACACACAGACACACACACACACACACACACACGCAGGGTATTACAAATGCCTATGGTACATGCTGGTGACACATTTCCACATGTACCCCATGCAGCAAACATGAACGAAACACACCTGAAGAGACCTGTAACATACCCACTCCAAGACA